TAATTTGATATCTATACATTAAAAAATACAAGAAAAAAATTTTTTTTTGGTTTGAATATTGTTATTTTTTATTTTTTATTTTACGTAAATTTTATACGTTATTTTAAATTCCTTAATAATTTCATATACATTAAATTTTTAAAAAATTATAAAAAAATAAATCATTATAAAACATACGAATTTTGATATAGAATCATTAATTACGTATACAAACCTTATAAAAAACGTATCATTTCCTTATTTTGATTTCTTATAGGAATTGTCTCAGCAAATTAATTGCTTGTGTCAACTGTATTTTATGTTAAACTACTATGTCAACCATTTTTACTAATACTGATTTATTCGTATCAATAAATTACTTAGTGTTAAACAATTACTTATATTAACCACTATATTTAGAGTCACTAACAAGTTAAAGTATTAATATTGTGAAATACTTTAAGCTATGCATCACCAATAAAGATGATTCCCATAATTATTTTTAAAATTTTTAACTAGTTGCAACTTAAGTTGCAACTCTTTGAGTTGTAACTATGTATGAATTTTTATATTAAAATAAATTTATAAGGAATTGCAACCAAGTTGTAACTTCTTAATTTTATACTTACCTATTCAGAAACTTAATCATAAAAGTATACCAACATCAATTGAAATTCAATATAATTAAAGTCTAATCCAATTCATCATAAAGATTGAGTTAAATCTTACTGCTACTCAATTGATTATGTGTTTCAGTTTGCCTAATTAATAGTTGGGTAATAATACAGCTTAAGAATAATAAAGTTTATGAATTAAAAAAAAACCTTAAATCAGATTTATTCTCTTTATGAATTTTTAGTCTATCAATGATATCTAATAATCAATATAAGCATTTTTTGGTTACTTTTAATTCATTTTTCATTTCACGCACTGGGTTTTACAATTCCATTAATTTTGTATTTAATATTTATACTATTTCATTTGATTCTTATCATCTGTCAGCTATAATAGATAATTCCTTTCTGATAATTCCTTTATTATGAGTATACTCAAAATATAAATCTCTTGCAACTTTTTAGTCTTTCATTTTACTTATTTAAGAATATTACTATGCTAATATTTTACATCAAAAATGTTTTTTTTAATTGAAAGAAACTTGAAATATGTTATGAAATAAATCCTTTAAGCCATTCTACATTTTCTTTACAAGTTAACCCTAATAAAAATGGTACTAAAATTGTTCTGGAGTATTTGATACATGAAGTATTTTTAATGTGCAATTGCAAACTAAATAGATTATCAGATGCCATATATCATTATTGTACATTTGTAAAAGTATAATCATTTGCAAAATCATACTATTTGTATTTTCTTTATTACATCTAATATGTTTCCCCAATTTTGTATAAATATGACATGATAGCCAGGAATTAAAGGTGCAAAACTTTATTATTAAAATCATTTTCTAAGTCAATTTGAGTAGTAAATAAACATTATTTATACTATTTATATTATTTTTTTAGGAAGAGTTGAATGTTGTGGTAGAATTCATAAAAAATTAGCATCCTCCCGAATAATAATGGTTCGACCAGGTCTAGAATACTTGCGACGTTCATTATTTGCTTCTAGGAGATACTTGGTCCACTTATTATCATTCTATTATAAAATAATATTAGTGATCTAAAAATAGAACATAACATATTCGCATAAAAAGCAAAGATGCATATAGTAACCATCAAAAGTAAAGTCTCACCATTATATCAAGGTATAATGAAAGTTGTAAAATGCCAAGTTAAACTGCTTATTTCCAAGTTTGGCGGAATCAAACACAAATTGAGCTAGTTAGGAGCACTTTAAGGGTATAATGAACACCCTACGGCTAAACTTCTTTGCTTATTAAAACTACGTAATACAAATAGAAGCTGAATTATGCTATCACGCTTTTTTTTAATTATATAAAATTAGCTTGGGCGATTATCGGCATATATGTAACAAATGTGTAACCATTGATCCCTTAAATTCTTAGCTTTTATATAATCGAAGTTCTTTAATATTTTATTATCTAATGTTCATCAGATTGTCTCCCCGTCTTCTGCCAATTTATATTCTTTGATAATTATAATTGCAATACTGACGACATTCAAGACAAAATTTGATCTTCCAATATAATGCTAGTGTTTTTGAAATGTCTTGCTTCCGTCCTCTTCGTCATTTGGTTTGTTACAACCCAATTATTTCCTTAATTTCCACGAGCATAATAAACATTTGATCCGTAATATCACTATGACAGACTATAATTTGCAAAATGAAAATTTTGTTGATTTTTTTTTTTTTTTCAAATTACTATTATAACCTTCTTAATAAGGTTTAGGTTTTTTGTTATAAACCTATCCGAGGATCAACACAACATTAATATTATTAATTCAAATTCTTACAATCGAATTGTACATTCAAAAGAAACCTGAAGGTGGATATGTTGAAACAAAAAAAAATCGATTCTCGCCGAAATTCGAGAGGAGCAAATATTTATATAATACATGGGAAATAAATAAGAGATGATTTCTAGGTGATTTTACTTAAAATTAAAGATCTTATTGCATTATTTCATTTTAATTTAAAATGAAGGAAAAAAAAAAATCTCAGAAGGGAATTTCCTAGAAAATCTTACTATATTTCATTCGGTAAATCTCCAAAAGCAAATCATTACACAAAAAAAAAAGAATTTTTCGTAGATTTTCGAATCATCGAAAACTCGTAACTTCATGAGTTTAAAATTAACAACGAGTACGATTGCCAATAAAATTGATACGGGGCACACGTGATTTCTTACCTCATGAATAAGCATTGGATTTGGTTCCTTTACAAAAAAATTTATGTACTAATTGTACCAGTCATAGTAATTCCATGATTTTGAAATATAGAATGCATGCTTTAACCGAATTTGTCTCTTTCTAATCCCAATACAATGCTAATTAAGATGAAACAAATTAAATCGATAACTTATTTGTAAAAATGACTCTTGGAAGATCAAACTTTTTTGTTCAATTTTCATGGGGGATTGACAATCATCAGTTGAAAAAAGTTTTAGTCGATGAATATCTTGTGAAGATTACTATTAATTGAATTTCTAATAAAAAGCCCGTATGAATCAAATCCTTCAAACTAAAAAAAAAAAAAATAGAAACATGATGAATCAAAAAAAAATAAAAGTAAAGATAAAAAGTTTCCCCAATAAAATTCCTTATTTTTTTAAAAGAATATTAATGAGTGGCAAGTCATTACTTGGGCTAAAGAGGCACCGCAACAGAAATTGTGATACGAATTCAATACGTTCATGGTCCAATACGGTAAATTTTGATACTTATACGTATATTGATGGTAGAAAATATCATAATAATACAAACAATACTTCAACGTACGTTTTACCGAGCGATTCTTTTGAAATTAGAAGAGCTGATGTCGCACATGAACTTTATAAACAGCATTGGGGAAGTAACTTTTCTTCTCCTGTAATGGAGAAATTAAATTCTTCCAAAGGTGCAAAAGTGTTGGACTGCGGGTTCGTACATCAATTTTTACCCTCCCTTTAACCTTGTTTTTTCCCATTTTCGATAATTCTTTCTTTTTTTTTCAGTTGCGGCTCAGGGAGATGGTCATATGAAATGGCAGTTAAATATCCAAATTCAACATTTGTGGGATTAGATATGGTACCAGTTTTTTCATGTAATGATAATGAAGACAAACCATTAAACCTTGGTTTTCTTGAATACAACATATGTAATGGATTACCTTTTCAGGATTCAACTTTTGATTTTATATTTCAAAGGTCAATGACGATAGCACTAAATAAATCTCAATGGAATGCTATGTTAAATGAATTCGCCAGAGCTATAAAACCTGGTGGCTGGCTGGAATTAATGGAATTACAAGTTAATGAAAATAATTTAACTAAAACCGCCAGGAAATTTCAAAACGCTCGTGAGTGATCTCGATTACCTTTTTTTGTTTTTTTTTAATATATTTTATTTTCTTTAATTTTTTTTTTTGTTTTTGATTTTTTTAGTCAATAAATATAATAAAGCAAAAAACCATTATCTTTGTCACGATTTTCCGTTTCATGATTTATTAAAGTCAACGAACAAATTTACTTCAATAAAAGTAATTGAGAAGAAAGTTGCCGTGGGTAAATGGGGAAATGAATTTGGGTTAGAGGTAGTTATTGTAATGAATAAATAATTCAACCTCGTTAAAAAAAGTAAGATTTTTTTTTTCGTATTAAAGAAACGACTTTATTTTAGGTGGCCGACGTATTAATTGAAGTATATAGAAGCATAAAACCAAAGGTAAAAAGAATAATGAACGTTACGGATTCGGAATATGATGAATTACTACAAAAACTTTATTCCGAAGTAAGAAGTACAAGTAATAATTACATGTATATCACTACCGCTAAGGCTATCGCCAGGAGATTATGATGAAATTACTATTGATCTATTATTATTATTAATTAATTAATTACGTTTTCTAAATTTTTTTATTTTAATTTATATTTAATTTTTTGTTCTTTTTTTATTAAATTTAATATTTAATAAATTGTTCCTTTTTAACATAATTTTGAGTGTATGTAAGTTGTTGTTGAGAGAAAAATGTCCTTTTTCGGATACGTCTTATATTTTTACGTTTCTCTGTCGTTGTCTTTCAAGACTTTCCAACTCTCAAGCCCTTCAGACTTAAAAGTTTCAAAAATATCTTGATGCTTTCGTAGTCAGATTCAAATACAATGTATAATTTTTACTATTCCTTATTAAATTTTCCGGAAAAAAGATTTCAACAGAACAGTTTTTTTAAACTTCCCGTTTTGGTATCTAAAATATAATAAAGAATCCGACTTCGGAAGAATTCCACATAATGATGCGTTTACTGCGGACAAGCAATTGTTGAACGAATTCTTTTTTTTTAAACAAAATCAAAGAAAAAAGGGCTCCATCATTATGAATGTAATTGATATGATTCCCAAAACGATAAAACACCCAAGTCATGATATTTTCGAAAGATGTGAACATGCTGATCAAAGATCACATCATCCATATCAAAGTAAATTGATAAAGGTGATCTACCTTTCTTTTCCCAACCATTTAAAAATCCTTCCAATTCATCTTCAGAGAAATCCCACAAACCATTAAAATAAATTTTAGATAAATGAGGACCAGATTTTTCAACCAATAAATCAAAGATAATTTTAGCATTACATCTACCCAGTTCACCATAATGGTAAAGAGAATCTATGGTAATGCATTTCAATAACCGACAACAAGTTAAAATTTTTTCAATATTTTCTAATTCACTCTCATTGTCATACCAGATTTTTACAAATTCAAGCTTTGGACAAAATCTAGATATGGATTGAACGTATTGTTTAGTTGCAATGTAAGGCCAAGGACTTGAATCTATATCTATCTTTCTCAATTCACCTTTGGTACCCTTAATTAATTTCACATACAATTCAAGGGGCTGTTCAAAAGGATAAATGATTGTCAAGTCCTCAAGGCAAGGGAACGTAACAAAATGTAATATGCCAATTCCCAAATTTCTAAAGGTATGAAACCGAACCTCTAAACATTTTAAATTTGTCAAAAGACTTAATGATTCTGAATTCACACAAATATCCCCAGAGAATTTCAAATGAGTTAAAGTCTTTGCTTGAGTACCTAATGCATTTCCCAAATTCTTGTAATCATAATTGCTCTTTGTAGAGAATTCTATTGATTTTAATCTTTTCTGAAATGCGATCAAGGTGGCTAAACCTTCATTGTCGTAACTACAATATAACAATTCAACAACGATTTTCTCTAAATTTTGACAAATTATTGATAATTCAAAGAAGAAATCCGTTGATATGCTACTTGAACATTCCAATTCATTTAAATTGGAAAATGTCGTTAAGGAATAAGAAAAATAGGTTAACGATAAATTTGGTAAATCAATAGTGCGAAGTACGCATCCTGCTAATAAACATTTCCATAATTCTTTTTCTACGAGATTTAAGTTATATTCCCATATAAAGTTTGGTGCAAATTTGTTATCAAGGAGTTCCGAACTTATATTTTTAATTGATTGTGATCGAATTTCTTGACAATAAGTAATATAATTAAGTAATGGTTGCCTAAATGAAGGGAGTATGATGTTGATCCCTTTCGTTTGAATTTCCAATTTGGATTCCTCAGGAAGACATCCAAAATATGATCTTGCGATTGCTCTATCATTGAACGGAACTTTAAAAGGATTTCTCCATAATAAGGGTGCAGCATTCTCAAACCATTCCTTATTAACAAATATACATTGATGCAAGCTCCTCTTGTCTTCTTCTAACAATAACAAGAAAAGTTTTCTAATAATATCCGCTGGTATAAACGAAACCATTAGACGCAAACGTGTCGAGGAAAAAAAAAAATTTTTTTTAAAAAGAGGTTTTGTGTGAAAGGTTTATTTATAATTGGGTGCACATGATGTTATCAATAATACGAAATTAGCAAAGACATTCAAGTCTAAATCTTATGAGGATAAAATCATATGCAAAGCGACCAATCAAAACTTTTCTGGTCGTACAACGTTACGGAAATTTTAATTGTTTCGAATTTTAATAATAAAACCTTTTTGTTTCTTTATTTGGCGCATCAAATCATCAAATCAAAATTTTAATTGATCAAAAAAGTTTTAAGGAATCTTTATATTCATCGCAATGTCTCATTCTCTTAAAAGTTTTAACAACTCTATAAATCTATACCGACTTGCAAAGATCCCCTCTCAAACTTTTATAATATTGAAATGTCTGATGAAATGAAAAGAAAAAATTGTCAACATTCTGCCGATGAAGAGGAAGGGTTGTTAGAAGAAAATCTTCAAGAAAATGATCCCGGCGCTTCATCACCCGAAAAGAAAAAACAACAAACAAAAAAAGCAAGTAAACAACGCAAAATCAAATCTACTACCAAAGAAACGATCGTTTCTTCTCAAGTTTCATCCTATGACCCGATGATTTTATCTCAAGAGGAACGAAAGGATGATGTTTTAGAGGAACCCTCTAAAAAGAAATCTCCTGCAAAAGAAAAATCAACTCGTCGTGAAGTTTGGACCACGGAGGTATGGCAAGATGAACTTGATTTTATTTTAATATAAACATTATAATATCTTTTTTTTTCAACTTAAAGGAATTGAAAAAGCTTTTGACAAAGTTCAAAGTAACGATTGAAAAACCATCGCCTGGAGATTTTGAAAAGGAGCTTCCTAGTCGTTCAAAGAAAGCTATTGCACATAAATTAGATTATATTGATAAAAGGATTAAAGAATTTGTGGAAAATGGTGATATTTTCTAATATTATGTTTATTTTTAAAACTAAATAAAAATATTGATGTAATATATTAAATTTAAAAAATAAAAATGAAGTGACTCGAAATCCATGATTAAATTGTATCAACGTGCTTATTAACATGAGTTTATTGCTAAGCCTACCATAGCCAATATAATGAATATTTATTTATATGTTTTGAGAAAAAATAATCTTAGTAGCAATATTTCATTAATCAAGGATCATTAAAATTTCTCTCTCGCTGCAAAAAAAGTGCATCCTTCAACAGTTTTTTATGGACGTCTGAAATCTGTGGCACAGCATTTATTTGTCACCAGTAACATGTGGCGTTACAATACACAGATTTTCAGACATGGTGATCACAAAATAAATGACATCATATCATATGCTTTATCTAAAATAAATAAATTTTATTTTCTTCTCTATTTTCATAATTTTTCTAAAAATTTGTTAAATTTGTTTACCAGGTAAGCTGGTTTAGTTTTTGCTTAAGGTCTACTGAGTAGCTAGTGTTTGTCTAGATTTACTGATTCTGGAGGAGGGGTAAATTAATTATGATAGCCGTCATTATTTTAGTTGTTTTTCATGATAGTGCGACGTGATGCCACTTAGATGTGCCGGTTATTTTAATTGGAGAGCACTCTGATTTGTTCTTTATGATGGGGCGTCGCGTTGCCATGGGTGGGCGGCTACTTTGATTGAAATACAACTCGTTTAATGATAACTATTATGATCGTTCTACATGATAGCGCTACCACAAGATGAGCCAGTTTCTTTAATTGGAGAGCACTCTGATTTGTTCTTTATGATGAGCCCCTTGCCATGTGTGGCTGTTTCTTGATTGTAGGTTTGCTTTTTTACTCACAAATCACTTTTAATTATTCATCCTTTTAATAGAGCTATTGAACGAAAAGTCAAAAAAAGTAATGAAGAATCTCAAGTTCACAACTCAAGTCCAAAAGGTTAATGCACACCAAAATTTGAATTATTAAATATTCTCTCAAATGTGGAAAAAAATATTAAAAGAACGAATATAAAACAATGGTAAGAAACTTAAAGACCAATGTTTTTATATTTTTTGGATATTTTAATAGTATCTAGATGTAATTAATTACGCGTCACTACAGAGAGCGCTGATCATCAATATAATAATACTATCCAACATAAAAAAATTATAATACTTTTAATTCATTGTTTTATAGGAAAATCAGATCTCTGAAATGCGATTATATCTCGAACTTGCCTTTCAATCATGATTCCTATCCTCAATTTTTACTTCGATCATCGTCAAATGTTTTTCATTATCGAACTTACCAGCCACACCGTTGATCCAGATTTGGACATGCTAATTTCACGCTACAAAACACGGTGGCGAAGTCTAGGAAGGAAAAATCATTACAGTAATAATGTGATGATCTGTAACATGATTTGCGTAGTATGTAAATAATTACATCAAAAATCTTTGAACCAAAGATTTGAAGATATTAGCCTATAGACATATCTCTTTCAAGAGCGAATGTAAACTAAGGAATAGACAAATGGAATCTAATTGGAATTAGGGATTCATACACGCTGAGCCACGCAAAAAGATGGTTAGTTTACATAATAAATATCGTTGCAGATTTTAGAATATATATATTCATAAAAAAAAATTATCAAATTATATGATTTAAAAATAAGAAATATAAAATTAATTTGCTTAATTTATCAAGTTTTTTTTTTCTATTTAATTGATTTTTATTAAAAAACTTCTATGGTGTGTAATCACAAAAAAATCATGCAACTTTAAATTTTTAAATTTGAAAAAAGCAATTACTGTATATACAAAATGAACATTTTTAACAGTTTACTTTATATGAAATACTATAAAGTATTTCCATTCAACATTCAAGAATTTTCATATGATTTGTAGTGAAGAGGGAAATTTCTGACTATCAAAGTTATAAATTCGATCAAAATTAAGTAAATTTTGGCCAGAATTACAGTTGGTTTAATTTACCGCATATTAATTATATTTAATTAGAGTTAAGTTACACAATATAATTAAATGGATTTTATTCTATTCTATTTATTACTAATGTGATATTTGTAATATCCAAATATGCAACCAAGATTTAGTTAGATGTGATTGCAGAATACTTTATATCTTTATTTAATATCTGATATAATGTTTAGTTGTTATCTATGTCAAAAGACTTTTTCTCATGAAATATTTTTTATCTCATAAAAGAATTAAATATAGAAATAATAAATTATATTATACTTTGATTTACGTATTCAACTTTGTATCAAAAATCTTGTATCCTATTAAGATGTTTTTATAATTCTTATTAAATGTCTTAGATTTAATAGACTATAGAATCCAAATATCTTATAATAAACATTTTTTCTGAAAATATTTTTGTTTATTTAATTCAAAGTAAAACTTCTTTTAAATATAATTCTGTACTATGAAAATATTGTTATTTATTTAAAAATGAAGCAGAAAAAGTAGATTAAAACAAATTTTAATTATAAATATTAGGATTTATAGCAGAATTCTAAAACCAAAACAATTGTCTATGTATTATTATGAATTATGAAAAAAGTCATAAAGTTACTTTTAGTTAGATACAAACTGAATTAATTGAAAATAACTGAATATTTTAATATGATACTATTACTTACACATTTACAACTAATTCAAAAAAAATTTATTAATAAGTAAAATTTAAATTATTTGTTAACTTTTTATAATTATAGAGAATTAATTATAATTTAATTTTTTTTATTAGAAATGAAGACATAATGATTTAAATAATCTGAAAATTACATTATAATATCTATTATATAATACTACAAATAATTAACAATCATAATATAAATGATATAGACTTATTTTATTATACTTTTTTCTTTAATAAATAAATCAAAGATTTTAATTTTTATATAATTTTTTTACAAAAAAATAAATGACTTGGATTGATATAATTAAAAAGAATTTAAAATATTTAAAATACTGTTTTTATTAAATAATTTAATAATTAAATTAATATTTTTTTAATTATAATAAAAAATATAATCAAAAAAAATTGAATTATTAGAAAATACAATAAAAATATTTTATGAAGCTATAAATTATAAATTATATAAAAAAAATTTAATTTAACAAAGTTTATATTTATAGCTTTAGAAAGTATCGATAATTATTATAAAAGAACTTTAAATAAAAATAAATTTCATTATCATAATAATTGAATTTACAAAATAAAGTAATAAAACATATAGGTAATAAATAATATATAATAAATAATATTCTTTATAAGAAACAATAAAATAATCTCATATATAAATATTACAATATATCTTTTCATATTTTTTAATAAATAAAATGAAAGAGAAAATGAATTAGTTAAAAATAATATAAAAATAAAAAGATTTTTATATAAAGAAACATCTACCTTAAAAATATTTGTTATTATTTATTTCTTAATATTCTAATGATTACAGAAAATACAAATAAAATAATAAGATTTTATTTAAATAAGTATAAAATTATTTATATATTTTTTTAATATTTACTAGCAAATAATATTTGAAACTTACTTCAGATTCTTCAGCTAATCCAATAATATCTTATAATAGTAGATCAAATATAATTACCTCTTCAGACTCATCCAAATTAATACTTTTATTAAATAAAGAAATATAGATTCCTAACTGAATAACTTTAGCTTTATACTATCATTACAATAAATATGAAATATTAAGGATTTAATATACTAAAAATAAATATCAATATTTTAAAATATATACATAAATTGAATAAATACCTTATTATTCTCAGATTATCAAAATATTTATTATTATTTTTAATACTTTAAAGTTGTATATGTCTTTGTCAAACTTAAAGTTTAATAAATTTTTATTAAATAAATTATAAAACAAATAGCAATCATTTTTTTTAATTGAATTTTTACCTTTTTAATCATTCAAAAAATTAGCAAAATAAAAATTTTTTATTATAAAAAAATTTATTTTTAAAAATTAAGTTGAAATTAATTATCAATTAAATTATTTTACACATCAATCATAAAAACTTATCTTTCATTGTGATTTATTTTGATATAAAATTGAACTGTTTTATAATCTGAACTTTACAATCAAATAATTTATTTATTCTGCAATATCCTTCTTTTATCTAAAATTAAATGTTTTGGATTTACTCTTTTTGTTTTATTAGAAAAATTAGTATTAAGAACTAACCTTTGATGGACTTTTACTTTTTCATTACTTTAGTTTCAAGACATATCAATTTATAATATTAATAAGAGCTACATATATTGATTACTAGATGATACTTTATAAATTTAGATCAAATTGATAAATACTTTAGAAGAGTTAGCAAGCTTATATAATATTTTTTTGAAAATTATTTCATATTATTAGTTTACATTTATAATTATATTATCCCTTAAATGGTAATGCAAGCAAATTTGCCTGTAATTTCTAAAAAAGAAAAGATCGCTATTAGTAAAATTTCTTAATTTCACTTGGATTATCATATAATTTCACAATCATATTGGCTAACATGATGATCATCAAATGCATAGTTAGTTATTTAAGATATTCATTTAAATTAATTTGCAAAGTCACATTTGATATTTTACAGAATTTTAAAATTTAACTTTTATCCCATGCTTTTAATTTTTTCATTTATTTTAATATTAAAATTTTTTATTTTTTTTATTATGGAAATTAATGAAGAAAATGAATATGAATTTATTGTTAAACTTTCACGAAATGCTTCATTACTAAGTGATATTGATGATATAAATGACAATATTAAGAAAACTGAAGAAATTCAGAATGAAAAGAATGTTAGAAGTAAAGGTAGAGGTTGAGGTAAAGGTAGAAAAAGGGAAATTATTATATTAGGAATGAACAAACTTTAGAACTTTTACCTTCACCTTCTTTTGATATTTTACAATATTCCAAACCTTTACACAAATTTATAATAACTTTGTCACATGAATACCAACTTAATATACCAACTCCTTATTCAATTTTTAATCTTTTTTTTTCTTTAGAACAAATAAAAATAATTGATAAAAACACAAATACATATGCTTATATAAAGAATACAGGAGAAGAACGCAAATGAAAGGATTTAACAGTGTAGAAGTTTAAAATTTGATTAGTAATATTAATATATGCTGGTATTTTTAAATTACCTAGTATTCAGAATTATTGGAATAAAGATAGTAAATATTCAGAACATAGAATTTCAAGTTTCATATCATTGCTTCACTTTAAACAGGTATTATTAATTTGATTTTATTAATATTTTATTAAATTTAATTAAATATTTTCCTTATTAACTAATTTAAAAAATTGTGTTTATTAATAAATTTAGATAAAGCATTACATGCATATTTCGGATTATACAACTCCTCCTAAATTTTGGTATTCTAAAGTAGATTCTTTGGTAACTCATATTAAAACAATTTCAAAATTAATTTGTATTTCATTATCAAATATTTCAATTGATGAAATGATAGCTAGGTTTTCTGAAAGAAGGCTTACACTGTAAAAATTAAAAATAAACCTACGCCAGAAGGCTATAAAATTCTTTTTCTTTGTGATACTAGTTATATCTATACTTTTATTTTTATGTTTAGAATTCAGAATCAACCTGAAGTTCAACAAATCTCAAATTTAAGTAAAGTAGAAAGTAAAGTATATCATCTTGTTCTCCAATTACCAAAGAACAAATCATTTAATGTTTATATAGACAACTACTTTTCTAGCATTAAACTATTAGCTATTTGCGTAAAAAAAATTGGAGCATATGGTATTATTTGTAAAATAGTGCAAATTTCTCTTAAATTTTTAAAATAGACAAATATTTAGATTGGGATGTGCTTTCTGGAATAGTTGTAAATAATGTATTAACCATCTTATGGATGGACAATAGGCCAGTAACTATGCTTTCAACTATTCAATAAATTGATGAAAATGAAAATGAAAATCAAATTAAAAAAATGTAACATCGATCACGAGAGACAAGCACTAATGTAACGAAAGTTCAAGCAGTTTTTAGAACTGCAAGCAAAAAATCCTTACCTATTCCTATTATAATTGATGATTATAACTATTTAATGGGTGGTGTAGATATAGCTGATCAATTACGAGGATATTATGGTATTCAATTACCAATACGAAGAATTTGAATGCCATTATTTTTTTTAGTTATTAGATAATGCAATAATTAATTCATATTTAAAATTAAAAAAAGTGGTATAAACATTACTCAAAAGGATTTTAGAATAAAATTAGTGTAGGATTTAATTAAAGCCAGGTTAGAAGAGTTACATGTATGTACACAAAGCCAAGTTGATGAATTAATAAATCAATTTGAGTTTATTCAAGTTGATTCTTCTAAAAAAAAGCAATATGTTACAGAAAATTTTGAACTTTTTTTAATGAGATTATCACTAGATGGCTGTGTGTAAAATTTATGTGCATAATGTGCATATGTGCACATTAATTTTTTGTGTACACATATTACACAACATAAAATGTGCACAAATTATTATTAAAAATAGATAAATTATGTATAAAAAAAGTAATTTTACATAAGAAAATGTTATGATTTTCTTATTTTAGTAATAATTAATCAATTTGTGCACATAAATTTTAACTTGGATTTTATACACTGCCAGATGGTCATTTTCCTGAATGAAGAGAAGCAAGAAATAGCTGTGTATAATGCAAATATTTAATAAAAAATGAACAGAAAAAGGCATCGAAAAATCCTCTCCAATTACAATTATATTGTATAAAGTATAATTTAGCTTTAGCTTTATGTTGTAATAAGAAAAGAAGTAATTGTTTTAAAGATTATCATACTCAAATGGAAAATGATAATTAAAATAAAGTTTTATTAAATTTTTAGTTTAAAATTAAATTATGAAAATTAAGATCTTATTGAATATAATATTCAAAATAACTTATTATATTTATTATATTTCATACTTGAAGCCTAATGCAAATACATTAATTATACATTTGTAAAGTTTTTTTAATCATTAAGTTTCCTTTTAATAAAAAATATACAATCCTTGTATTATTAATTTATTCTCTTATTTCAAGTTGACTTATTATTGATACAACTTATTAAGAAATAGTAAATCTATTTTAATAAAAATTTAAATAAAATAAAAATATAAGTATATAATTTTAAATAGATTACTTTATAAGTTTTTTGTGTTATATTATATTATTATATTAAAAACAGAAAGAATTTTTTTTCATTATTTTGTTTATAAGTAAAAATAGTTGTTAAATTTTCTAATCTAATTTAAAACTTCTCCTTTCTAAAAAATTTTTCAGTATTGAACTTACATATAAAAAAGTAAAGTTATAAATAAAAGACTTACTTTTACAAAAAATATGGTTTTATTGTCATTTATTTCAAATTAAAATTCTGTACAAGTTGGTTTGAGCTAATTTGAAAATTAGCTTGAACTAAGCTGATTTATTTTAGCACAGGCTTGATTTGGTTTGAGTCAAAAATGTAAGAAGCTAAATTAGCTTAATAACTAAACAAGCTAATTCATTTGGCTTAAATTATAACAAAATCCTAAAAAATATTTTGAAGAGATTAAATATACTTTGATGAGAGTTTTCCTTTAAGATAATAGCTTTTAAAACTTTTCTTTTCAAAATATACACGTCTAAAGCATAAAAATTAGAAAAAAAAAAATTCTAGAGTATGTTTTTAAGAAAAATACTACCAGTACATAAAATTTGAAAAAAATATTTTTGTAATATTTTTTTTTAAAAAAAATGCTTTAAAGGTATTTTTCTTTGAAATTTAATGTTCTGAGCGCTTTTCTTTAAGATTTAATACTATGGATGCATTTTATTTAACCGAAATGCTTTTGGATATTTTTAAAAAATTTAAGCTGATAAGCTGGGCTGCATTATAAATTAAGCTATAGCAGTGTTAGAAAATTAGACAATTTTGAATAGTTTTGAACAGGTTTGAAATGCAATTTCATATGTTTAAAACCTTGTTCAAAATTAAAAAATGTGTCCAAAACCCATTACTGAACTATAGCATGAACTAGCTTGATTGGTTTATAAGTAATTTTATTGTGACTTGAGTTAAGTCTTAATAAGCTAGCTTGTAAGTCTCGTAAGCTAACTTAGCTTATATAAAGTTTTATTTTTAATATAATATTTGTTTTAATTTATATAATAAAAAATAATACCAAAATATTAGAATTAAAATATGTGATTTTAACATATTTACTTGTATTAAAAATATTTAATCTATATATAGGCCTTTTGCAATAAAAAAAGCGAAAACTGCTAAAAAAATGAAAAATGAACTAATGGTATATTTGTATATATTTTAATTTGATGAACATATTTGACATAAAAAGTGAACATATAACTTAATAAAATTTTAAAATATTTCAAATAATTCATAAAATTACAAATCTATTTTTGGCTACAAAAAATTACCTAACTTATTAGTTAATGAATTTATACAACTCATAAAAAAGATGCTATTGATTATGATTTAAGATATTTTTTAACATACTAGTGAATAGTTATTATTTATTTATTAAGAAAAAAATGCCTGGTTTCATTATAAATTGAAATAGTAAAATTTTTATTTGTTAATTACAATCAAAAGATAAGTAATTATTTTTAAAAATTGTTTAGTAAATACTAATCGATCGACGAAAACATGAGCGTCATTTTTTTATGCGAAATTTCCTTACAATTTGATTGGCTAAAATGATGTTTACACGTGTAATCATTTTGCTATTTATTCGTGGTGATTTGTTTCTCTTTTTTTTTTTTTTTCCTTTCTCTTCTTTGCTAATCTAAAGCTTACTATAGCGTAAACTTTAAGCGATGCCTAGACTGTACGATCCTGTAAAATTTGACCGTATATTCGCTGTCTAGTTGCGGCGTTTATACCTTTACACATTTTGTGTACTGCTCCCCTGCTGTGAAGGGAGAAATATATTTCACAGTACGTTCCTTCTTGAAGTTTTCCTTCCGGATTTGTTCGGTTCCCTTTTCTTCTTAAAGGAAGTATTGATAAAGTGAAAAAAATGGTTTAAGACGATGATCCCATATAAAAAAATCATTCCCATTGTTTTACGGCTTTTCTTTTGGTATTAAGAAAATGCTTCGTGGGTACGCGAGGCTTAAATAATGTATACCTATTAATTTGGTTTTTTGTTGGAAAAAAAAGTTCGGCCATCCTTATTTCTTTCTCGCTAGTTGGGGTTTCCAATAATGAAACTATTGAAATTGTTGAATTGGTTAAAAAAGTTCGGTCATCCTTTATTTCTTTTTCACTAGTTGGGTTTCCAATAATGAAACTATTGAAAATGTTGAATTGGTGTTGATAATAAAGTTGTCTTGACTTTGGATCCATCAAAGACCAAATGTAGATTAAAATGATGACTTTTGTTCTGATAATCTACCTTCCCTGAACGAGCCTTGCCACCTCTACGCGGTGTTCAGGATAAACAGTTATATCGTTGAACTATATCTGACCAAGTGTCAAAGCATTTTAAATTTACGAACGGTTATTTAATGATTTTAAAACGTGTGCTAGATAATCTTTTTTTTTTTTTTTTTTAGAAAATTAGAAAACATTATTGAAATTATAATTTATTATTCATACTTGCGACTTATGTAAAAAACCTTTTATGCATAAATACTGTAAAATCAATAAAACCATTTTTCTAACTTGATAGTTTTGTTGTATTGCGTCTATAACGAGTGTGTAGATATTTATGGAACCTATCGTTGAATTCTTCGAGACAATTATATTAGAAAGAAACTCGATCGATGAAGGTCTTTATAAATAAAAAGTGTTTTAATATTATACTTTGGTGTTATGAAAATATTTCTCTGAAGTCATCTAAGGTTTTATGTAATTTTGCTGCGCTTAAATAAATCATTGATACTTTTATTTTTACATTTACATTAATAAATTAATTACAACTTTGACTTAATAATTCCTTTAAGATATTCACCACTATAAACGTCTTTCAAAACTTCATTGTAACCAACGAGCACACCTTTTTCTTGAGCCAAATTCAAAGGATCCTTTTTAGCCCAATTATATAATGCTTCGTAAACATTACCATCATATCTACCCAAAGCACTACTCAACATATTATCACTAAATTCCCAAGCATCAACTAAACCAATGGCATTAGGTCTAATGTGTTCTAAAGAAGTTTTAACTCCTGATTCTAAAATATCAATATGTTTTGAATCAAGATAATTATCTAATAAAAACTCCCCAGAATATTTTAAAATAGAATTTGCAAAGAATAAATTAATTAATGTTCTCAATATAGGATAAATTCTTGGATGACTTGATCTAATTGATTCAACCCCTTGATTTGCTGATATCAATATAATCGTATAACAATATGCTCTTGATACGTTTACTATATCAATCATATGTTTTGATTTTGCACCTTCATATCCTCGAGGATGACTTCTTGAGAATTTTTCGAGATTTGAAATGAGGTTTGCGAGAAGGCGTGTGTGACGATGAGTGAGCGCCTTTTCTTGTTCATTTGGATCGGTTAATTCCTCCCATGTGGTTGCTCTACTACGTTCTGAAAGGATCCTTGAAGCATCTTTAAGATAAGATAAAGCTGCAGGAGTCGGTCTACCATTCTTTGCATTTTCAAATGCTTTGATTAGATAACGTCCTGTTTGAAGGTAAAGAATCGTGTTTTCTCCTTAAAGTGGGAAATGGTTCAATAAATTAATAAAATTCGGAAAGTCTCAAAGAATTTAAATCAAAATTTTTTATTACCTTCGACTGTAGGATATTGAGCGTAAAATTCTATCATGGATGGAATACTAATGGAGCGAGAAGAAATTTAATGACGTTCCAAATCTCCAAGGAAAAATTGTTCTTGAGCCGCACTTACCCACTAAAATGCGAATATCCATGACCTGCATAATAGATTTAATTATATAACAAAAAGAAAAAAAAAAATAACCCGCATATGTAACAAACAACCTACCACCACAAGCACGTCTCGCATCTTCCATGGCTTCCGAAGCCAAATCAGTGCAAAGCGCTTTTAACCCCTAAATACAATTTCTATTTATTAAAAATTTTCCTTTTTCTGTATCATTTCCCTTACTTTTATTTATTTATTTTTTTTAAAAAAAGAAGTAAATACGTACCGAAGAAACGGCATGAATATCTGCCATCGAACTAATATCACCATCACCGACTTTCTTTTTATTTATTTCGTAAGAATCTCTCATCCAATTTCTAACAAAGTAAAAGGTATATGAAATTGATAAGCTATTAAATAGGCGATATTGTTGAAATTGGTAATCCAATATTGTTGTTTCATTAGGATTCTTTATAGTATCATTTCCTTGCTTTCTTACAATAGAATAACGTATAGCGATACATAAAACTTTTGCCAAGAATAGCGATGCTTGCTCGATAATATCAACTCTACCAGCTACTAAAGTTCCATAAGCCATTTTTGCATGTGGTGGAGTTGAATATTTCCCATCTCTTGATACTTTGGAAAATTTCATGAACATCTGATCACGTGGAATTCTCACATGAGTAAATCGAAGGAACCCTAATTGGTTTAACGAGTTATTATTAAGTAGCGTTTTTTAATTTTATTTTATTTTTTTTTTAAAAAAAAAAAAATATTTGTAAATTAGAGACCGTTATCAATATTATTAAAACCGAATTTGGGTCCAATATCGCCAATATCGATTCCCGGTAAAGCCTTATGATTTTCACCACGTAATTGAACAATGAATGGATGAATTCCATAATCTTTGCCATCAATTATTAAACGAGCAAACACGACCGCATGCGTACTTGTTCTCGCAAGGGCACCTGGCCACCTAATTATAAAAAAAAAAATTTAGTCTTCATTCCCTAACAAGAAAATGATGTTTGATCTTAAGAAAGATAAACTCACCATTTAACTGATGTCAATGTTGGACAATGAATATCAAACTCATCCTTAAAAAAAAAATTATTATAATATTAAGTGGCAAAAGAAAATTTTTTAAGTAATAAAAAGACTTGAAAAACCTACAGTTTCATGAATAAAGGTCGCAGTTGTTTCCAATCTTCTAACATTAGACCCATGTCCCAACTCAGTCTGTACGTAACTAATAACAAAAGGTTTTAGACGCACATCCGAATTAAATTAAAAATATTATTTATGATATATACCATCCAAAAATTGCATAATCCTTAGCTAAAGGTAACCATTTCTGTAATTGTTCATCAGATAATTGTCCTTCAAGAGTTGGTATGAACAAAAAGTCATGCTACACGTAATAAAAATATATTATATATCAAAATTTCATTACATATCTCGGTAATGCATAAAATTAAAACTTTTAGTTACCAAAATAATAACATTAGAATCGCCGGTTTCTAACAAAAGATAAAACCAATCATCTCTATTAAGATCATATTGTTTCTTATATTGAATTAACTTTTTCAATTTTTCTAACGTTCTAACATAATATTTATCACGTGAAAGGAAGAATTTATCATCATTTGTGAACACGGGATATTTATTCACATCCAATAACGAGCGAAGCATTCTTTTCTTTTCTATAAAAGAAAAAAATTGGTTTTTAGATGATTATAAAGGAATTAATTAAATGATTGATTCATACCGGTTCCCTTTGGACCACCGAATAAGTATTGAGTTAATTCTTCAATGGGAAATTGCACCGCTGAACGTTCTTGTGACAAATTGGGATTAATCGACGACATCTTGATTGTTAAAATCCAAAAAAAATTAACTTTTGCATGCAATTTGATTCAATCTGATGATATTCAATTTCCAATAAAAATAAAAAAATTCTTTGCAAAGGCTTCAAAATTACCTTATCTAAATTAACAAGAGGAAAAAAGTGAGATAAAAAAAATAATTTATATAGAGCTGATTTACAAATCGTATCTTATTTTAAAGATTTTATAATTACACAAAAAATCACATGTGCAAAATACTTGTATTTATATCGCTAATGATGAGATAAAGGTATCATAAATCAACTAAAATTTATTTTCAGAGATCATTTTTTAAACAAACATATTTTATAATGATTTTGGTTTATTAATATATTTGATGATAATAAAAAACTTGCTTCTTCAAGGACAGAATGTCCTATTAGCTGATCGTATTTCTTCTCTTATTCATTTCTTATGTAGGTTTCGTTTAATGTTTAAGCGAAAAAAGATGGACTATAACAACAGAAACAAAAAAAGGCGTCATTTCTGGTACTACCGAAATTATTCTATCATTCTTAATATTACATCACGACTATTCGCGATGAAATTCGGCTTCTTAAAATTATTTCGAAAATTTTAAACTTAATCACACAAAGGTTCGCTTATACAAATAACGGAATGAATAATGGTAATATGATGTAATAAATTTTCTTCCTACTATTAACAATAACGTTACTACTACACGATAATCGAATCAATTTGTCGGAATCTATTCATTAATTAATAAACAAAAAATATTAAAATGGGGAGGAGGTAATAGCGTTATGCGGTGTGCGATTTAACTTTTTATCACGCTAATAATTTCGATAACTCGTATTCTTTTTTTTAAAAATGTATATTAGAAAAAAAAACAATTATTCTTCAAATAAAGTTAATAAATATTATAGCGGGAGCAGTAATTTTTAAGGTTTATTTTCTTATGGATATTTCAAACCCATAAGAAAACTTTCATTAAAATTCAAAACATGGTGGCAAAAGTTATAAAATATTAACTGTAGGATTTTTTTTTCAATATTTTGCACAATACTAGTTATATTTACTTAATTTTTGAATAAATAAATAATAGATAGGCTTTTTTTACTTAATTTTATCATGTTTTTAAACATAGACGGTTCTTGAGTTATTTATTAAAGATACAAACAAAAACCACAAAAAAAAATCAAGTACTAAATATAATAATCGTTTAAAAATATCTTTTCCAACCTTTGAGTACACCAATATTTTTAAAATTTTCAAAAACTTGTAAATGTTGTTCGGTAATATCAATTTCCATATGATAATAAATTAACAAGGGCCTTCTCTCTCTCCATCGATGCAAGAATTCATACAAGACCTTTACACTGATGTTCCAACCTTCACCAAACTTTATCATACAAAGATTGAAACCAGAATAACTTGACAGGGTATTAAATATAAAGGTCAATAGATCATCACCATTATTATTTCCTGGAACGTCATCATTATGAATGAAAAGGGAGATTTCTTTTAATCCTTGAGAGGATTTAATCAAATTTTCAAAATCATCTTTATACTCATCTAAATACCATATGGTCACCACTTCAAGGCTTGGACCAAATCTTATCAAAGATTGATAATATGATTTAATACATTCAGGATTTGGCATCGTTGAATCCGTTTCGATATTGACCTGTCTTAACAATCCATTAACACCTTGTCGTATCTGTTGTTGTTGCGTTTCAACTTGTGTTCGCTCCCGGCCTAGTTCTTGCTCGATTTCATTCTCTCTTTCAGTCCCACTATTACTCTCATTCTCACTATCATTTTCAGTCACATTCTCATTCTCACCCTCATGCATACTTTCGGATTCATTCTCTTCGATGATAGATTCGGTAATGGTTAAGTTCGTAAAAGAAGCAGAGGTACCTTGGATCAATTTAACGAAGATTTCAAATTCATTTTCAACGTTAATCCCATAAACATTTAAAAATTCGAGATTTGACCATTTAACATTTTCCAGATAATTCAATCCTCTCATGAAGATTTCACCATCCCCATGGTTAGAATGACTGCCCAACATGGACTTAAATTCAAATTTTTTAACGTTAGTTAGTTGATTTAAAATATTTGAAAAGATATAAACGTTCTCTTTAAATATGATACTCTTTAAAGTATTTTTATGTCTCAAGAGACTTTTTCCTACAAATTTGTTAAATTCTTTCTTAAATTCTCTTAAATTTTGAATACTAATACCACCACCATCATTCCCTTCAACATCATGATGATTAATATTTGGACAATAAAATTCGACTTCCTTTAACCCATTTTGCATTGAAATGAATTTTGATACACTTTCATTGATACCGCTACCAACACTCTCGATGACACCATTCGAATAATTCAAACTCAACCTTTCCAAGTTTTGACAAGATGAACCTAAATCTTCAAACATCAAGGTGCCCAACTCCATTGGGGAACATTCTAAATGGATTAAGAAACCTAACCTTGTCAAGGCATTGGGATAAATGAAGATTGGGAACGAAGGATGTTCCATGCGTTTTAAGGTTACGCTATGCCTCATGAAGATTTTCCATAATTCCTTTTCCAATAACGTTTCATGATATGTATATGAGAATTTTGGTGATAAACCGTTCGTATAAGGAGGATGAAGGTCAAATAAAAGATGAGTGATTAATTTATGAATTGATTCAATTGAAAGGTATTGAATGAATTCGATATAATTAAACATTAATTTATTGGATGAATCATTTAATTGATCCTTCAACACGAGTGAATTAGTTTTTTGTAGGTATTCTAAATTTTCTTTTGGAATACAATGAAATATAGTACGACTCAATGATTTCCATTGTACTTGATTAAACGTAAATGAAATGCTGTCATGTAGGGGCTTTTCCCATAATATAGGAACCGCCGCTTGACACCATATTCTATTTACCAACAAACAGGAATAAAGTAATTTATTATCATCCGTTATCTTTTCAAAAATTTCTAATAAACAATCTAATGGAAGTAGCGGATATCCCATTGTCTGGAATTTTTTTTAAAAAAAAAAATAATATAATAAATGAATAAATTAAATAATATTATATAATAATATACCCTAAAAATGAAGGAGTGCGAGAGATGGAAAAGATTTTTTCCAGGAAAAAAATCGAGAGAATAAAAAGACCCTTCCATAAAAAAACCTCTCTGTTTTTATGTGTATGCAAGTTACCGCACTTTTGACATAAAAGACCCGAAAAAGTAAAGTGTGGTTACACGTTTACCTTTATTTATTGTTGAATTGAAAATCTCTCCGTCACTATTCAAGGTTTTTGGAATTTATTTGATCCCAATGCCCAAATTTGTAAAGATGGCGCTTTGTTTATATTTCTTAAACGGTATATATTAATCACGTGATCAAGCTACAAAATATTTTAACGTCAAGGAGGAAGGGTCAAAATTTTTAAAATTTCAAATCCCGCTCAAAAAAAAAAAAATTTTTTTTTTCACAAATTCCATCAATATAACGTTTATTTTTTGGGGAACAGCTCTGAAAGTCCCGGAAAATGCTTGTTTAAGGATTCTCTGAATTTGCACAAGGCACAATATCCAGCCTCCTTTGATAATAATAATAATATTATTATTTATTTATGAACTATCACAAATAATAGGTTAAAAATAAAAAAAAATGTTTCTTTTAAAAAAAAATTTCTTACGAGATTTCGATCGGGATTTCCATTCTTTGGAACTTTTACATGTATAACCCCATCTTCTACCAACTTATGAATCTTCTCAGTGTTCACATTAGCGGGTAATGAAATCGGACGGACAAAAGATTGATAACGACGACCTTTTTGTTGTGGCACTGGGGGTACAATTTCTCCGTCAATAGGTTTCCACTTGCCAAAGATTACCAGGATATTATCAAAGACTTGAAATTCGATATCAAAGTCCTAAATATCAAATTTAGAACAAATCAAGTGGGATTCAAAAGTTTACATCAATGGAGAGTATCGATATATATCGCATACATGTAAGCACATTTTGATATCGATTTCTTTTTCATTTTCTGACTTAATTATTCCGTTGGAACATCGAGAAGCATCCTCATCTATTTCAAAGTTGTCTTCTTGAAAATCATTCTCATTCAACAAAGGTTTTTCGTGTTGTTCTTCCATGTAAATAATGGTAAGGGGATAATAGCTTTGTCGATTCTAGGAAGCTAAGAATCAAAAAAAAAATAAAAATAGGTTGGGAAAAGCCAGAAAAAAAGGATTAAACATTATGTCATCATTATATCATTGTTTCAACTACAGTCATGTGATTCTTAGCACATGACATGTTCCTGCCTTGGTATTACAAATGTTGCTCTTTAGTTAGTTCAATATAAAAATTCTGAATATAGTTATGGTGTAAAATTTATATAAATATTTGAATTACTAAAAATAAATTGCTCAAAAAAAATCTGCAAACAATAAAGTTCAAGCAAACGTGACTCTTTACATGCCAAAATTAGAAATCTCAAATCTTATTAAGATTTTTAAAAATATAATATAAAAAGGAGTATTGTAGACCCTCAATTTTAACAACAAAGAAAAAAAAACCTCCCACAATTTATTTTATAAAAGCGTTTTTTAATAATATTGAAAAATAATAATAATAATAATAAAAAGAAAAAATGATTAAAATTACAACCCTCGCACTTTTCGTTATTCTTCCCTTATTAATTTGCAATACAATTCCTTCATTCATTGAAATGAACTATGATTTTGATCAAATAATATTGGGACCAAAACCTGAGGGCTTCGAAATAACTGTCTTCAATAAATGGGTTGACCCTTTACCTTCTCTGTTGGTTATGCTTGACGAAATAAGCTGGGCCAATTAAAAGGATTTTCAGATATCGACGGCAAACTTGATGAATAATTTTTCTAATATTACTGGGTGCCTTTTTCTTTTTTTTTTATATTCTAATTTTGTTTCTCGTAATAATTTTCGCTTTTTTTTCCCCACAAATCTATGTCTTGCAAAAGAGAAATTTATTTTTAATTGGAAAAATGTAGTGTACCGTTACATCTATTTCATTACTTTATATAGTATAACCCAAGATTTTGAAATATTTATTCTTTTGCATCTTTTTTTTAAGGGCATGTTGATTCTCTAAATTTTTTTAAGAATTTCCTTATATTGATGTTCATGTAACATTCAAGTTTATCAAACGTTATCATTCGAACAAAAAATGTTGAACCAACATCGTGTCGAAAATATAGAAGGTTTTTTTTAAGGTTACAACCTGTTTTGTTGAATATTAATTTTTATTTTTATTTTTTATTTTTTTGTGTATTAAAACATTCTGGGATAAAAAACGGGCGATTTATTTTTTTTTAAAAAAAAATCACGATATCCAACATTGAAACCTTTCAACATTTTGATTTAATATTCAATTACAGGAAGAGCATCTATATTAATTTAAAATATTTAAGTTAAATTTATCTTTCTTTAATGTTAATAATAAACATGCAGCTATTTAATGAATTCCTTATTCTTTAAATTCAAAATCTGAAGCCAAATAATAGTAAATAGAAAAGAATTTGTAATTTTTTTCGGTATGAACATACCGATCCGTGAACCAGAATTTACAATTTAATTATAGAGTTTATAACTAAGGAAAAAAAGAGATGAAAATTTAGCACAAAAATAAAATAAAAGGAATACAAAAAGTAATCTAAAGCAGTTCACGGGAACATTATCAAAATAATTCCATTTTAGAACCTTAGATAGATAAACTTGGATTTTTTTAAACGTTTTGAAGAAATTCAAATTAGAGCTTTTAAAATAATATTTCAAATCAAATTTCAGTTTTAAGATTTTTTTGTCAAAAATTTAATAATGAACGTTAATTTTCACGAGTCGCGAATTTGACTCAAATTTATTATTATTGAAAAGATTGATCGGCAATAGATTGGTTGTTTTCCAAACCGATTTAAAAATTGGAACCACATAATGTTGTGATACAATAAACTTTTACATACATTTTTATAAATGAATGGAAATTTTCATCGTTTTTCTTCTCTTTTTTTTTCTTTTTTTTTAAAAAAAAAAAAAAAATTAATTAAAATAAATTTGCCCTTTTATAAACCTTACAATCAATCATATCACTTATCGAATGAAATAAAAGAAAAAATTACATCGATAGTTTTTGTTTTTTTTTCATCAGTTAAGTAAAAATAAAGAAAAATGGCTGATCCAATCGATCGTTTAACTGATTCGGTAACTAATGGCCTCGCAATTGCAGCATCTTTTTCAAAAGAAGCAGCAGTAATAGCCGATACTTTGGGACCATTTATTCCATTAATATCGGATATAACGCATTTAGTATCAGACATTATCGAACTTTATCAAAAGGCTGAACATAATAAGAGGATTTGTGGTTCATTGTTATCAAGAGCAACAGCAGCGGAAACTGCTGTTAATATGTTAAAAATTCGTAGACTTGAAAATGAAGATGTATTTAAATCAAGGGAATATTACAACAATTTTCAAAAATTGGTCGTGGTGATTGATAAAATTAAGGAATTCATCGAAGAGGTATCACAAATTAAAGGGTTGAGAAAATTTTTGGCTGCTTATTCTATCGAAGAGAAATTTACGAATTTAACCGATGAATTTGATGGATTAATGCGCGTATTAAATTTTACTATGGCTGTACAAAATCAAATTCAAATGGATGAAGATCATAAAGTATTAATTTCGGATGTAAAGGAAATGAATAAAGTAGGTGCAAAGGATATAATTTTTTTTTCTCTTTTTTTTTAAAAAAATAAAAATAAAAATAAAACTTATTAATTTTCTTTTTTCTAGTATTTGAAGACAATTGAGGGTGGTATTGTTAATGATTTGAAAGAGATTAATGCTTCGTTAGATGATATCACTCAACTTAATATCGCATGGCAAAAAAGAGTTTTACAAGAGGATAATAATGTTTTAGAATCTGCAACGATTAAAATGACGGAAATTCATGATCCTCACGAGACAGTAAAACGAGGATCAAAAGTTTATAAAAAAATTCGAATGGGCGAGGATATAGCAATTAAAGAAAAAATTTTAGGAGATGATGAAAAGAAACTTATGAATGATATTCTTAGTCAAGTAGTTATCTTGAAAAAATTAAAGGAATCTCAATATATACTTCAATTTTACGGTATCGCACAGGATGCAAACGCAATTTATATGGTAACCGAATGGTGCGATTATGGTAACCTGAAAGAATTTTATCAGGATTATGGACCCCTTGATTGGCATGAAAAAACTCAACTAGCTGTGGATATCGCTCGTGGTTTAACCTTTTTACATACGGTTGGCATCTTACATCACGATATTCGCTCCGAAAATATCCTAATCACTAATCATCGTCAGGCGAAACTTGCCAACTTTACATTAAGTCGTGGATTTAATGATCCCACTAAAAATATGATGCCTACGATCGATACAGTTAGATGGATGGCACCGGAAAAGTTGAAAGATCATAGAAATCTTTATACGGCCAAATGCGAAATATACAGGTGTAAATTTAATTTAATTTTATTTTTATTTTTATTTTTTAGCAATCATTAAAAAACTAATTTACTTATTTTGCTAAAGTTTCGGTATGTTACTATGGGAAATTGCGGAGGAAAAAATACCTTTTAGTAATGAAAGGGATATATTAAAAATTAGAAATCTTATCGTAAAAGAAAATGTTCGTCCGTCATTTAGTAATACAATTCCACCCGAATGGGTTAAGATTACTTATCAGGGTATCAATAATTTATTTAACAAACCTTTCCTTATGTTAAACCTTTTCATTAACAAAAATTTTCCATTACTTAGCATTACATGATAGTCCAAATGCACGTCCTCCGCTTAGAGATATATTCATGACGCTTAATCATCTTTATAGAAAATTTGCACCTTCACCATCTTCTCGACCAAATTCATCACGATATCCAACAGATGACGATTTACCGAGTGATGATGAGCTTGACCTTGCTATCGAAGATCTTTCTATTAATGTTATTACTGTTAGAGAAGCTATATCAGAACATAAAAAGAAAGATGGTGATAAAGTCAAGTCTTGGGATAGTTTTAAATATCATGCTGATGAATTTAACGATATTACAGCGAGGTTGATTTATATATATATTTATATATAATATATATTGTTTATATTTATCTGATATATTAACAAATATATTTTTATTTTTTAAAAAAAAATAGGTATTGGAAAGGGTATTATTTATATTACGGACTATGCCCAATTGATGATCCATCGGATAAAGTAGCAAAAAGAGCAAGGTTAGAAGAAGCAGCAAATTTATTTAAGGAAGCCGCAGACTATGGGTTATCAGATGCCCAACTGAGATATGGTCATTGTTTATGGTCTGGAGACGGTGTAAGGAAAAGTATTTCACAAGCGATAGAATATTTTCAATTATCTGCAGATGGCGGTAATCCCACTGCAATGTATAACATTGGTAATTTATATTATAATGGTCTTGGTGTACAAAAAGATGAAGAAAAAGGAGTAAGATATTTAAGATTAGCTGCTTTAAGAGAACAACCTAAAGCACTTGAGATGTGTAAGAGGAAATGTATTTCCTTAGTTTAACAAATTAATAGAATTTATTAACGATAGTGATGGCGGTACTTTATTTATTTATATGTTTTGTTTCACATTTTACATTTAAATATTTATTATATATTATTGTAAATAAGTTATCTTACCTAAATGATTTTTTATTATTATAATATTCATTTATATATATTGTATTTGTTAACTTTATCTTATTAAATTATAATATTCAATATTCAAAATATCCATGATTAATCAATTAAATATTTTCCCGTTCTGTTAATTGTTCTAGGCAACAATGTGCACCTTTCAAAAATATCCTGTAGTTTTGTAAAATCAGGATTAATGATTAAATATCCCGACAACTTCTCATTACTTTATCAGAAGTCTATTCTAGAGAAAAACTGCTCATGTGGTCATCCTCTGCCTTTGTTAATTAATAAACTCGACCGGGATTTAAAATGGCATTTCCAAGGCTTTTTAAATTAATTTTCGGTACTATACTTTGAATTTTCAAATTGTTCCAAAATATAATGTGGAGGATTTTGCCTCCATCTTTGAAAAATAACTTGTAATTTTTTAATATCAGGACGCTTGAATGGATCTTGATCCCAACAACTTTTCATTACTTTTTCATAAGCAGGTGGGATTTCTCGAGTAATTTCAGGTCGTAATCCTTGACAAATTCTAATAGTCAAATCAAAGTCATAATGCAAATCATCGTATGGTTGTAATTCGGTTCCAAGTTGAAACATTATAATACCTAAACTATAAATATCTGAAGATTGAGTATACGATTTTCCTTTTAAAACTTCAGGAGCTACATATGGCAGGACCCCATATATACGTGATTCTAAGTTTGATTTCAAATTAACATGTTTACACAAGCCAAAATCATTAAGGTATGCCAAATTTCCATTAATCAGTACATTTCCAGGATGTAAATCACAATGAGCCATTCCTAATTTATGAATTATAGCAAGATCATTAACGATATAATCCAAGATATTTGTTTTTTCCTGCCATGTAATTTTATTATTTTTCAAATAATTTCTTAAATCACCGTCAGCCACATATGGAGTTATAATACTATAATTCATTATATTCGGATCTCGAGTAACACCATACAATCTAAGGAATCTTCTACCACTTGTCATAAATTGATGTTGAAATTTTAACTATTAATTGAAATCAATAAAATAATTCAAATTTCAATTTAAAGAAAATGTCAAAAATCAAAATTAAGTAGTAATTTTGTATTTTTACCTCATTTATAAAATCTTCAGGTCTACTAATTACAGTTTTAATTGCAACCGGAATGGGATTACTGCGTTGCCTTTGGGTGTTAATAGTATCATACCAAAAATTATCCATTCTTTCTCCATTCTTCCAATTTGTAATATAGATTTCTCCAAATCCACCATTTGTAAGATGTCTAATATCTTCCAATTTTTCATAAGGAATCCATTCTAAATATGAAGCATAGGAGGTTGCATTTCTTTGAGTACCTTGAATAAATTCATCAATGTCTTCATTACCGCTAGTCCAATTCGAAAATTCATTAATTAATTGTTGACAATCACATCTAGGACACCAGTCATAAAAGCTTTTTGATTTTTTGCAACGAGAGCATAATCCATATTTTTCCATATCCTTGAATATTTAAAAAGATAAAAAAAAATAATACGGTGAAGAACAAAGTTATGTTGTGGTCTGTGTATCACGTGATAATTAGCAAAAATTATATGAGGCTTTTGCAATAGAACTGGCGAAAAAATAAAAAATGAGTTAATGCCTAAAAATCATAAAAGTAAAATTGATTTTTCCCGGCAGTTTCCCCCCTTTCTACTGCAAAAGATCCCATATATCAATCGCAGCCATGATCAATATGAATGCTAATACAATTATAATCCAGACTTTATTACCTTCATTGCGGATATAAAATTATAAAATTATGAATATTCGTAAATTTTGAGAGTTGTTAATAAGATAAATATACTCAATGACTCGACCAACTTTAAATGATGGTCAATTTTTCAGAAAGCGATATTATCTAACTTTGTATAAAGACACTGCGAACAAAGAAAGTAACATATGGGTTTCGTCAATGTAAACGCACCATTTTACTTGTAAATTTACAGTGACGAAGTTCCATACTTCATCCAGTAAACTGTATTGTCATTTTACACAAAGCAAGGTCAATGATATTAGAGAATATATACCAGTTGCTTGTAACTGTCAAAGGGCATGTTCTAGCAGTACTTAAATGGTTAAATTATGACTTTAAAGGTAATATTGATACTAATAAAATGTATTAGTTTATTAATTAAACCATTAAATAACATACTGTTGTAGAGGCGGAATATACAAACTGCCTCGAAAAAAATGATAAAATTTCGTTGGTCAGACGAGGACAAATCTAAAAAGAAAATCATTATCCTTACAATACTTCTATACGACTGAAAGTGATGAATCCGAAAGTGATAAAGGTGGACGAAGATTTTATATGAGATATTGAATATTTAACGGCAATAAACTGAATGTCAATGAGCCATCTTTATTCACCATAAGTGTTTGTTTACTTTTTGTTTATAAGCCTTTTACAATCGTCTAAGCTCTGAATATGAGCGAATTCCTAATTTTATCGAATCATCTAGAGCTTTACTCTTCCTTAACTTGTCTAGATTTTGAAAATTATCGTTATTCAAGTTGCACGATTCCACCTTTCTGAACATAAACGGAAGAAATATTTTGAAAAAATATTTTTATACTTCTTTTCAAAAGAGTGATCATCATTTTTAAGTAATAAACGGCTGATCGATAATCTAAATTTACATTTTTTTGATAATTTCTCTTAATTATGTTTTCTTCATTCAAACTAGTTCCAAATATTTTTGTGTCCCTTTTTAAAAGAAGTTTTGGTAGTTCTTCGGCAGGTGATTATAATTTTAATAATATTCACTTAGCTTAAAACATATTCATAACATTTTCTTCATGTAGTCTTCAATTCCAATCCATCAAATAAATCAAATGATCTTTTGAAACAACCATTAATGATTTACCTTCATTGGCCGTATTGTAAAAGGTAAATTGCTCTTGTTTTTATTCTTTCACATTTATTTTCTTTATATACATTTAATTTTTACTTGCTCTGTTAGTAAATGTACTTACTGTAATTTTAATAAGTACATAAATCCGAGACCTGACCATGAACGAATGAAAAAAACTTTAATTTCCGAAATAAAACATTATGTACAAAAATATGAAATGAAAGGGAGGATGATTCATAGCGTTTATTTTGGAGGTAAGATTTTTTTTGTTTGTCACTTTTTAATTTAACATTAATGATTCGATTATTATTTAGGAGGTACACCAAGTAAGGTTTTTTATATTATTATTATTATTTTAAAAAGTAAAAAAGAATAAATGTAAAGCTCATTCAATCTTTATCGGTAATTTTAGGTTTGGCATTAGTAAGTTGTGTTAATTTATTTAGGTTTTCTTTTTTCTTTCTTTTTATAATAAAGATTTTACTTGCAAATTTTATTCTTTAATTATTTAATAGCCATCTACTTTTGAAGCCGTTTTAAATACAATTTCTAATGAATTCACATTGCCTTCTAACGCCGAAATAACAATGGAGGTATCGAATATCAGATATCTTACTATAAAGCCTTGTATGCAATTTCTATTTACTTTAAATATAACATTCTAAAATTTGAAAGGGAAATCCAACGGTATAAAATATTCCGAATTACATGTAATTTGGTATAGACCGATGCTTAATCTTATCTCGACTTTTATTTTCTAGTCAACTGAAACAAAAAAATTACAAGAATTTCATGCAATAGGAATAAACAGATTATCACTTGGATTACAATCTCTTAATGATTCGGAATTAAAGAGATTAGGTAGAGATCATACGTCAAGAGAAGCTATTGACGCATTAAAAGAATCGCAAAAAATTTTTGGAGAAAATGTTACTTTTGATTTAATATTTGGCAGGGAAGGACAAACCGTTGATGATTGGAAAGCTGAATTAATGGTAATTAATTCCGATACCTTTGTTCTCCTGATTGAAGGGTTAATTAAAATATTTCAACTTGTGGAAATTTTTTAGGCCGCTTTGGAAATAGCATCAAATCATATTTCTTTATATGAACTTACGATAAAGAGAGGAACACCGTAAGTTGTTATCACGTTGCCATGATATTTTAAATGTTTTAACTTTTTTATTTTATTATATAGGTTATATAAAGATTTTATTAAAGGAAATTATAAGAAACCGTCATCTGATCATATGGCTAATTTATACGATACTACGCTTGAAATTACAAAAAAATATGGATTTCAACAATATGAAGTATCAAATTTTCAAAGAAATGAAAAATATAGCAGGCATAATTATGGTTATTGGAGCGGTTTAGATTATTTAGGTATTGGTAATGAAACGAATTGCTTTTCGTGAATGCGTTATTTGTTGAATTATAATTATACTGTATGTAATAGGAATTGGACCTGGAGCTCATGGAAGATTAACAGATTCAAAAATCGGGATGAGATTTAGGACAATCAGAGTTTGTTAGATTTTTAGATATGTGATTTTGATTATTTGGTTATGTGAGTTTATATTTCATATCTTTTTGGTTTTAGAGATTGTATCCAGAAGATTGGATGTCACAATGTGAAGAAACTGGTGAAGGGCAAGTGAATTCTTGATTATTTATCCTCACTTATTAAGTAATTAATAAAAAAAAATTCATTTTGATGAATTAGTATTGCAAAGTATGAACAAATAAACTTGGATGACGTTAAGAAGGTAAGTTGTAATATAAATAATCATAAGATATAAATTCTAATGATATAAATCGTCTACTTTAATGACGTTGATTTTATATTAGGAACTTGTGTTATTTGGATTACGCACCAAAATTGGAATACCAAGAACAAGGTTTAGGAAATATTCACCAAATCAAGAATTAGAAAAGGTAAATTATAAATTTGATTAATCCCGATAAATTGATTAATTTAAACTAATTTTTTAAAGTATTTTTTTTTAAAAAAATAAAATCAATAAATCAATAAATAAAAATAAAGTATTTAAATATGGAACAAATAAAATCCTTTATTAAAGACGGCTTCTTAATTTGGGAGAATAGGTCTGTTAGATATGATAATGAATGGATGTTGAATGATTTTAGAGAAGAAATGCAGGATGGTGGATTGAGACCTACCGAAAAGGGGTTGGCTGTAATTGATGAAATAGTTCCAAGAATATTGTACTAAAACTTTAAACTTGAATTGTTTAATAATAAATCCTCCAAAAATTTATTGTATTAATGCATTTATACACTTGCGTCATGGAATGGTCTGGGTACATTGACACCCACTTTATATAAATGACCTTTGAGTTTGAGGATCACCTAATACTGACTTTCGTTACTTCTGAAGGATTAAGTTAATTCTAAGAGAATTTTAAATAATTTTAAAATTAGAAGTTATAGAACATCAAAAACTGAAGGTAGAAAAAGATAAATGCTAGATAAAATCCAGCCGTCGAGATACGACTGCTATTATCATTTGTTGCTGTAAACGATAAAGGATTTAGGGGAAGGCAATCAGGTGCCCTCATTCCTTCAGTAAGGACTTCAAAAATACCATTTTCAACATTTATAGTGGTAAGGTACCTTATATTTATCAAGCTATTTGTTTGTATCTTTACTATTTGCTTGGCTTAAAGTATATTAATCTTGCGTTCGAACGGCTCAATATAATACTTATTTAAGAACTGAAAATTACTTAGAAACTTTGCGTTCAATATATTTATGAATTTATTTTCATCAACAAAGAAAATATATTATCTATAAGTTCTATGGTTTGAAGTATAATGCATATATTTTTTTAAAATAGTAGTCATCTATTGTTACATTTATAAAAATATAAAGAAGGAACTTTTTTTTTTTACAAAGTAAAGGTTTATAATTAATCATGTGTTTATGCATTTTAAAGGTTCAAAAATTAAGTAAATATAACTTCTTATGAGTATTGTCGTTGTGGTTAGTGGCTAATCCCAGGTATGACTCTTATCGTGCAAAATATTGAGTGATTATTTGATGACGAGTTTTAATTTGAGATATAATTGTAACGAGCATGATCTTTGAAGCAAAATATCAATCAGACATGAAGTATTAACAGTATTAACTCAAATTTTTTATTTTATTTTTTTTGATAATACTATATACTTTCTATTAACTTTTTGAATATTGTTTAGCATAAATAGAGTAAATAATACAAGCTAGATAAACAAAAATTGTTTATTTTTATTTTTCAAGTAAAGGAAACAAGTAGAAATATGAGTATATAACATAAATGGTGAAGTGAGAGAACCTTTCAGGGATTAATACAAATATAAGAAAATAAAAAATTTATTATTTATATTTTCTGCAAATAAGAATAGAATTATTTATATATATAGTTTTTACTATTATAGAAGAGTAGAATAAGCATATTTTTCTAACATTAATAAAATAATTAATGTTATTTTACTTTTTTTAGATATAGTAATATAAATTTTATTAATTTTATAAATAAAAATCAAATAATATAAAGTAGAATAACTAAACTTTTATTTATACAATTTAATACAAAAAATTATTGTCTAGAGACATTTAAAAACCTATAAAAATTCAGATCTTTTAAATCAGCTGGTTATCTCATCAAATTCAAAAACACATGTATAAATATAAGTCTTATAATAACTGTATATTAACTGAGAAAAAAAGGTTAAAAAATAAATATAAATTAGAATATAAAAATGACTAGCTATTATAGATTCAAAAAGAATTTAATCTCTATCATATAATTGAAAGTTTAACTAAATCAATCCAATTTGTAAAAGTAGGTTACGAAAAAAAAAAGAATTAATGTCAATTAAATGGGAAAGAGGAAATTCAGTCATATTTTTTTTTTGTTTATATAAAATATGTAATAGTTTTTTGATCATTAAAACACATCTAGTAATCCAAATTTTATTATAAGTTCAATTATAAAGATATATTGAAATATTTAATAAAATGTTATTAGTAATTTTTTAAGAATTTAAGATATATTATATAAATGTATTTCTAGCAAAATCAAAGTATAGGTCATATGATTTAATATATATCATAATTTGATTTTGCTAAAAATGTTTTCATATGACATTAAAAAAATTTAATCAAATGATGCTTTTGATTAATTTAAGAAGTTATTTCGAAAAATGATTTTTTAAAGATTATCAGTAATAAAATAATGTATCAAAGAAGTTAATAGTGTAAGATGAAGCCATATTTTATTAATTGTTTAACTAAAGAATATAAAAGAAAATATTCTCATTTATATGTTTATTATAAAATTTTAAATAATTATATTGATAATTTAACTATTCAGAATTGATAATAAGATTATAAGACTCATAAAATATTATTATTTTACAAATATCATTTAAAATATTATTCTCTTAAAATTGGTTCTACTTTTGAGATTGTCAAAATAGAGAAAGATTTTACATGTCCTAATTTATGAATTGAAATTGATTTGATTTCACAAACTTGAAAGTTTTTATTATATTATTTTAAACATCATCACCACTTTCACTATATGTCAGAAATTACAGCATTTAATATTATTACTTGAGATAAATTTATATTTTTATTTATAAACCTTTTTGTAGAAATTTAGTGAAATAAATAAATTTTTCCATTTGAATAACCCAGATTTATATAATTGTTTTATTTTTCTTTTATAAAAAATTTGCTAATCAATACTTCTTCAATATTATTTTTACATATCTAAAGTAAATAAATCAGCTAAAAAATAAAACTTAAAAAACATTTAGATTACCTTTTATAAAATTAACATTATCATGAACCTTTTAATTTATTATGATCTAAAACTAATAGATATTATATCAAAAAATTAGAATACTACAAGAAGATGTTTTAAATTATCCTATTAGATAATTATAAATTTCAGATATACAGCCATATCTTATTAAATTTTTTAAATTTCAAATAAACTAAATACACTAAATCTATCGATAAATACAGACTTTTTCTTTTAAACTTACCTAATATAATTAAAATAATTGTTTAAAATAACTAGCTCATTTTTATTAATAGAATAATAATTTTTATAATATTATAATTATCATTTTAAAATATCAATCTTTTATAATAAAGTTTTAATTAATTACATTTCAATTATTTTGAAAATTAATTGTATTATCATGCTACTAAAATTACAAAAAAAAAAATAATAAATTTTAATGCTTATTATTTGTTAACAGCAGGATTTGAATTTATGTTTTACAAAAAAATCAGATTTAAAATCTATTACTTGATAACTAACAGTTATTATTTTAAAAAGAATCAAAAATTTGAATAATAGAATCTTGATTATTTAATTCTTTTATTTAGTTTTATTTAATATTATTAGAAATAAATTAATTCAATAAACTTTTAATAAAACATTTATTATAAGTTTTTTTTGAATTAAAAGATTTAGACAAATTCATTTACAAAAACATAGATTACTTATTTAATTTAATTATAAATTTAATATCCCCCGGAGTGTCGGGCAGGCAAATTTGCCTGCTTATTTTTAAAGTTCAAATTTTCGTATAACGTATATACCAAATTAAGTTAAAACTAACAAAATATATTATATGTATTCTAGCTTATTCTAGTAAGTATTTTATTATTGTATCACATAAATGTCGGACGAGCTTATATCAATCATATGATAATGATATCATATATTAATGTATTAAGATGTCGGGCAGGCAAATTTGCCTGCTAATGAACGAACTTTTTTTTCTTTTTTCTTCGATATTTTAATATTAATGATGTCCAACTCATCAAGCGAAATTCTAGAATTTGACGACGAATTTTATATTTGCCATTTTACTCGAGAACGAAATTTCGAAAATATAGATAATTTAGATAGTGAATTAATCGAAAGTACCGAAAGTGCAGAAAGTTCAAAATCAAAAAATAATCGTAATAAAAATCAAATTAGTAAAAAAAAACCTGAAGAAATATATAAAAAATCTTCAGAATTTGTACCTTTTGAGCACACTTACCATTTACATAATGCTTCATCAACTCTTCCTCGTGAACTAAATTTTATTGAAAACCCAACTCCTTACTCAATTTTTAGCTTATTTTTTTCACAAAGTCAATTACAAACAATCGTAAAGAATACAAACATATATGCCGCTGTTCATGGTGCAAAGCAAGGAACTAACCAAAAGGGTGAAGGCAGAAATTGGGTTAATTTAACTATTGAAGAGTTAAAGATATAGTTAGCACTTGTGATCTATATGGGAATATTTAAATTTCCAGCAGTTAAAGATTACTGGACAAAAGATAGTAGTTATCCGTCTCATGAACTTACCAAACTTATGACATTATTTCGATTTCAACAGGTTAAATTTATTATAATTTCTTTTTTATTAAATATTTTTAAATAAAAATTAATAAATTTTTTTTTTAGATAAAACGTTTTTTACATGTTTCAGACTGTACCAAACCGCATCCTGATTGGTTTTCGAAGTTAGAACCATTTGCATCGCATGTACGAGATGTATCAAAACAACTTTACTTGCCAGCATCAAATGTTTCTATAGACGAAATGATAGCACGATTCTCAGGACGGAGTGCACATACCTTTCGTATAAAAAACAAACCTACTCCTGAGGGATACAAGATTTTATCCTTATGTGATTCGGGCTATACGTATACATTTATATTTTGTTCTCGTGTTATGAAATCTAACGTTGATCTTGTTCCAAATATTAATAAGATTGGCTCAGAAGTGTATCATTTGATTAAACAATTACCACCAAAGTATGCTTTCAACGTTTATATGGATAATTTTTTTTCAAGCATTACTTTATTTCAATTTCTTCGTGAAAATGGCATCGGAGCTTGTGGAACTGTAAGAACAAATACTGCAAAATTCCCTATTATTCTAAAAAAAGAAAAAGAAAAAAAAAATTAGAATGGGATCATTTAGTGGGTGTAACAGCAGAAGATGTATTAGCTTTGTTATGGATCGATAATGGACCTGTAACGATGCTGACAACAATTCATACAATTGATAGTAAAATCGAAAGGGAACGTAGAAGGCCACGTGAAACAAGCACTAATGGTAATAAGGTTAGATCTGTATTTGGAAATGAAGCTCGAAAAAAGATACCAATTCCAGTTGTAATTGATGATTACAATTACAATATGGGAGGAGTG